AACTTTGGCTTGCCAGCTTCTATAAGTGTGTGAGCCATTTTCCTAAGATAAATTTTTCTCTCTCTCACTCTAAGTTTTACTGGTTTTTGTTTCTCTAGAGAAGCCAGTCTAACACACTTCCCTCTGTCATATTATTTTTTCACATCATTGTTTCAGCCAATCCTTCCAATCTCTTGGCTTTAAAAGTAGAGCTTGGAGAAGCCAAGCTATGAGATTGTTTTAGAAATCGTTAGGATACTGTGAAGGAACTTAGCTGAGTTGGAGAGATTTGAGTTAAAACAGATGTCAGAGTAGATGATTAAGACATTCAACCAAGATAAAAGTAACAGTCAAGGCTTTAATTCCTTGGTACAATAGTATAAGCAAGAAGATCAACCAGGAATTAGGCAAAGATGTCCCTTGTTCCAAATTTCCCCAGGAAAGGCATTGAGTGAGGGGCAGTTGAATCAGTGCAGACCCTGGGACCATCTCATTGCTGAGGCAGCCTTGAAAAAAAGATTTCTGCAGTTTTATGGACCCTGGAGCTGGAAAGAGTGTAGGGGAAAAGGCTAGGGTGGAAAGGTACTGAATACTAAGTTAGGATGGGGAAAAGTATTATCAAGATTCTCTGCCTCCTTTTCCTGACAAGGAGGCTTCATCAGAGATGCCTGAGGAAGTCCTCTACTGAAGGGCCCAGACAAAGAGGCCTCCATATGGAGATGCCAGGGCTAAGCATGCAGATATGCAAAAGCTCATGGCTGGTTGGGGTAGGGGCTGAGTCCTTGACTTCAACTTCCTCCAGAAATTGCAGTGCATTGGTTATGCACCAGATCTTGATGGGAGGGCAATTTTCCTCCATGAGGCCTTCCAGGTAAAGCTTTTGTAATTGCCTATGATCAGGCCTGAAAAATTACACATAGGTTTTTAGTCAGGAGCTGAACTCCTCAGAAACAGCAGAGGGACAGTAGGATTACCATGAGAGGAGAAGTGAGATTTCCAAGGGAGTCTGGAGGGAAGATACAAATCAAGAATGAATGGACTGAAGGCTGGATAAACACTAAGATGAGAAAATGCTCTGGACTGGAGCTGTATTGATCTACTGACAAGGGAAAGTTAGAAAGAGGTATCACTTCTAGGGATTACATTTACTAATATGCATTTTCTGGCATAAGATGTTTGATGGAGAAAAGTAAGACTCTGGAGGAGAAGATTATATCAGATACTCTACATTAAAAATTCTGAGAACGAGGTTGGAATATAAATGCTTGTTCTTTCAAAGACTTTGTTGCATATCATATAAGAGAGAGAAAGACGTGGCAGAGGATGGAGATGGAACGTTCTTCTTTTGATCTTAAGATATATCATGTCTGCATTAATGTAGTTCTATTTCATGGACTCTATTCCTCTCTATACCTATCTCAAACCAAAAATATCCTGTGGGATTGTTCTGTGGCAAAGAAAAAGAGCTTATTTTCTTGAAGGGGAAAGACAGAAAAGATAATGAAATAATCCTTGGCACTGGGCCTGTGCTTTAAAAACACTCCCCAATCTGATCTGAAGGAAATCTCAAATCTCTACAAAAGGAAACTTTGCAGTGATACTATTGAGGACTTAGGCTGTAATGAACCAACTGGTCCTTCTCTGTAGGAAATTGTTGCCCAAGCCCACAGAGCTTGTGTGGCTTCAACTGTACTCAGAAAATGAGCACAGCCAAAAACAAGGTAGCAACTTGCCCAGGGGGCTTGCTTGACAGAACCTAATTTTATATCCCCCTATCTTAATTCTTTTTCTCTCATCACCATATAGTTTGATATATAATGCATATTTATTTGATTTATTTTGTATCCCATCATTAGAATGTGAGTTGTGTGAGGGCAGAGATTTTATCTATTTTGTTTAACAGTGCCTTTGAAGAGTATCTTGCAAATACATGCAAGCAGAAATTGTCACTTCCTCCATTTATCAAAGGGAGTGGATAATGAGGATCAAGGAATGGAGCAGAATGTAAGGCTACAGAGAGAGAATTAATTGACGTTGGAGTA